AGCAAGAGTTGGAAGAGGGATAGAGCACTTCACTCCTTTTCTGTATTCAATTCCTGCCAAGAAATGCTCTCAATGCTCATCAACTAGACCTAGCAGGCTAATTTAATGTGTGTTTGTAAACTACTAAATTATCTTGGCTGGTTTACTTGTAATTCCACAGTGTACTTACATACCATTGTAGCACCATTACTGGGCAGCACAATTTAAATCAGTTATTTATTTTTAAAAAGCACAAATACTTCCACTTTTATTCCTTTCCCCTTCCCCACAAATCCTCAGTGCCACTAAAAAACTAGGTTCAGAGCATTTCCCTGGATTCTGGATTTTTTCCCAGGGCAAGTGAAGAGCAGCAATGATGGGGTAAAATTGCTCCCCATTCTCAATTCTTCTGCAAAAGTACTCTGCTGACAGAACATCTGACCACTGTGAGAGTAGTCACTACCAAAATCTTAGACACTGAAGGTGCATTTTCACTTTTGTCAACTGAGCAAATGAGGGGAGGGGGAATTAAACTCAGAATCAACTAACAGAAGAATGAAACATATCTTCCGAATCCAGGGTGAAAAGTGGCATACATATCTCTGCATTAGCACACAAAACAGGAAACTGACATTTAAAAAGAAAAGGAGTGGAAGATAAAATAATTCTCTAATGGCTCAAAAAGTTCGTAATGTCCAGGGCAGCTTAGGACAGGGTAGAGAACACCGTGCAAGAAACTGAGGAGTGTTTTCAAAAGCAGACTGCGTAATAAGAGACACCAGTAGTTAAAAGGGAAAAAAGGCAAATATTTCCCAGGGCACTCCTAAAATCCTTAGGTGTGCCCAAAACAGCTCTGTGGATTCTGGCCAATATTTATCTTTATGGCTTGAGTCTAGAAAGGCACCAGTGGGAAGGGGATAATACAGGAAAATGCTTTTCCTAGTTCTTCCTCCTTTTTTGCAACTCTTCATTCAAACAACCCTCTCTTAGACATTGGAAAACTGTCCTGAATGAAGTGTACTCAAAACAGTGAGGCGAACAGAGGATTACTGAAAATGTGGCAAATATACCTTCTGCAAGAGAAGCTGAGTGGAATGAGGAGCTTCTACTCTTCTGCTATTCTCTGTATCCAACTTTCATCAACATTGTTCTCTCCATCAAGCACACTATGGCTGCAATGATGCATCTTTATCTAAGAAACAAACACCCTCATCCTTGGAAGTGTCATAATAAATTTGTTCTTTTGAATGTACATTTGCTTAATTAATATCTTGCTTGGATCCATGAAACAGTAATATTACTGTTTTGGTGAACAGTGTGTGTTGGTTATACTAGCAGCTTGCAGTTTTCTCAAGTCGGTCCTGACACGACAAAAAAACAAACAACTACTAAAGCTGATTTATAAAAGCAGATTCTTGTCTGAATGAACATTGTTCATGTAGAGCTTCATGTGTTTAATTATGAAGGTTCCAGAAATTGAGAGATCAGGCCTAATTTAGCTTTCTTGTCTTTACTTTTTCCTTTTCTTCATCTTTTCAACACTGAAAGATCATGGAAAGATCTAGAAATCTCAAAAGCATGAACAAAATTCAGTGTGTTTTTGTGGAGGATTGGCCTACTAAAGCTATCTCCCTGAAATCCTTAAAAGAGTCAGAGTATATCCAAACATTTATCAGCTCGTTTTAATTGAGAAAACAAATTGAAGCAAGTGAACACGCTTGGCAGAGCCCCAGACTACTCGTGGAACCAATACCTGAAGATGTGCATTAAATCACCCTGTCAAATACAGTAGCAACGCTATCATTATCTTTGTGTGAGGACTGCCTACCACAATTTTAAAAGATTCCTTTAAAAGACATTTAATGGGTAAATTGGAAAACATCGCACAATCAATCTAAATTCAGTTTCTGTGTATGTGGAGGGGAGCAAAAAGTGAGAAATGATGGAAGAAAGGAAAGCTTTTTACCCATTTCCCCTCCCCAAATTTAGATATCTTTCAGCGTACAGACTGTTTCTGGGAAACTGGCAAAAGAGGAGTCATCTAGTACAAGACACGAGAAAAAGTTGAAAGAAAGATTGAACTGCGTATGTCAACATTTACTTCATTTCTAACAATGTCAAGGTTGGCTGTGTAGAAAAAACCCCAGACAAATGGTATTCATATAAAAATATTAGCAATTACAGAGGTCTAACACTGGGGCAGGATGTTCCTACATTCTTGTACCAATTACAACATTCAAAGTGAAAAATACCTCTTTCAACATAAAAAAGATGTATTCTGCCTTTTAAAAAACCAAAACTTAATAACCAGTCTCCCCACTGAAAATGCAGATTACTTGAGAAGAACTGAGTCATGTTGATCACATTTGTGAGGCCAAGAAGGGGGGAGAGAGGGAGGTCTAGAAATAAATTATTATTATTATTATTATTATTATTATTATTATTATTATTATTTGGCAACTCCAGCTTTTGACAACAGATAACAGAGATATGCTGTTAGCAAAAGTGTAATAAAGAGACTGTATAATCAAAGTTCAAATATATATCAGCTATTATTTCTGATTAAGGTAGAAGAAGCTGTATTATCCTCCACTGTACTGTTTTATACACAGTATTTTTTTTAAAAAAATAATATTATGTATAAAACAAAGTTTGTGTACACTGAACAATCAGAAAGCAAAAATGTCACTATCTCTGCCACCCAAATGGATAATTTTGGAATATTTTGGAATTCCCGAAAATGGATGCACAACCTGTCTTTGTTTGTTACTCAAGAGACCCCCCCCCCCCAACTCACAGAAATACAATGAAGAGCAGCATCATTTCTTTCTGCTTCAGATCAACATCTATGTTATAACCAAGGAAAGCCTGAATTAATTCCCTTAATGTAGGTTTTCCTTAATATTATTTTATATACATGAAAATAGCTTTGTGTTAATTAAATTAGGGTACTGTTCCATTACCTGGGCGGAGACCACCAGGGGTGCTAGAGGGAGAAGGATTGTCCCATTTATGGGGGTGGAGGGTGGATTGAAGAGGGAAAATCATTTCCCCCTGTTTTCCTGTTATTCCCCACATTCATGTCCATGCTGTAGAAACAACCCTGATTTATGATATGGGAAATTGGGGGGGGGGGGGGGCATAGCCAGTGAAAGTGGGGGAAATGGTTTTCCTCCTTTAACTCACCCCCATAAATGGGACAACCCTTCTTTCTTTAGTGCCCCAGTGGCCTCTGCCCACATAATGGAACAGTATCAAAATTATAAGACAAATTGAAAGGGCACAAACTGAAACTGGTTCCACCACAAACCCATGCAGGATTTCCCCCTCCCATGTGTTCCACAGGGCTCTTGTCTGTTCAAAGCACTTGTCAGTGTCTCCATATGATTTTGAGATTGCCTTGCAATGTAGTGCCAGGAGAACAGAGGGTGTATCTGCAACAGGCATGGACAAACTTCAGCCCTCCCTACAGGTGTTTTGAACCTCAACCCCCAAAATCCCTAACAGCCTCAGGCCCTTTCCTTTCCCCCCTCAGCCGCTTAAGCGGGAAAGGGCCTGAGGCTGCTATGGATTGTGGCAGTTGAAATCCAAAACACCTGGAGGGAGGGCCAAAGTTTGCCTGTGCCTGATCTACACTGTAGACATGATGCAGTTTGACACCATTGAAATCCACCAGAATTTGGACAATTTCAACAGAGAGGAGGAAACCATGAAAATGAACAAAATCTGGCTACCAGTATTAAAAAAAACCTCTAAAATCAGGGGAGTAAATAAAAGAGCAACATTAAAAAAATGGGAATTCCAGACAGGAAACAATTAGGGCCAGCTAACACCTCCCAACAAAGGTTCCCCCAGGCTGCAATCAGCCAGGCCTTGAAGCTACAAGAGCATTAAATGCTAATCAAGGTGGACAATTGCAACATTCACACTTGCTTCAAACTGACAAGAGTTCTTTCACCCACATTCCGTAGATATATAAACCTCAATTGCCTAGTCTCCAACACATCTAACAACCTCCGAGGATGCCTGCCATAGATTCCAGCGAAATGACAGGAGAGAATGCTTCTGGAACATAGCCATACAGCCCAGAAAACTCACAGCAACCCAGTTTGACACCACTTTTAACTGTCATTGCTCTGTGCTCACAGCAGCCCAGTTTGACACTACTTTTAACTGTCATTGTTCAATGCAACTGAATCCTGGGAACTGTAGTTTGGTGGGGCACCAGCATTCTTGGGAGCTGTAGTTTGGTGGGGCACCAGCATTCTTGGACAGAGGATTAGAAAACCTTGTAAAACGACCACTCCCACGACCCCACGGCATTGTCCCAGGCAGTTAAAGTAATGTGAAATGTTAACTCTTGCCCGACTTGTTGGAAGAAACTTGGTTCCAAACAGTATCGTCCAATTTATATATGAAGCTTTAGATTCTTCTCCTAAGCATCCGAATTGAACTTTGAAAGATGCTTCATAAAATTTTTATACCACAAATAATCAAGAACTACAAATCACGTATATGCCAAAATTGTGATGCTTATATGTTGACTTTTCTGGTTTGTTTTTCTATTGACCTGTCTTACACATAAGCTCGTTTTTGTTTTGATCAGGCATTGGGCAAACTTCAGGCCCTGTAGGTGTTTTGGACTTCAACTCCCACAATTCCTAACAGCCTAACCGGCAGATAGGAATTGTGGGAATTGAAGCGCGAAACACCCGGAGGGCCCGAAGTTTGCCCATGCCTGGTGTAGACCCACGATGGGTGGGAAGGGATGCGTGCCTTTGTGGAGGGGTCTGGAGCAGGGATGCCGCGCCGTCCCCCAAACAAGAGAAGCGAGCCTGGCGCGCCCCTGAGCATGCGCACTTGACGCGGGAAGGGGCGCCTGGTATGTGGGGGGGGGGTGTTGAGGGGAGTGCCTTTGGCTCCTCTCCCCTCGCGCGCGCCTCTCATTCCCGGAGGCCGAGAGACAAGGAAGGGGAGACAAGTGGGCGGGGCCCCGCCGGCCGTTGCCGCCTCTCACTTACAATAATAGGCCACCACAGGCTCCCGCTTCTCGACCTCCTGCGCGGTTCTCAGGAAGTGCTGGATGGCCTTCAACGGCGGGGGAAGCGGCGGAAGACCCGAGGCCGCCATAGCGCTAGAGGGTCAACCCGCAGCTCGGTGTCACTAACCCCTACTACGGACCACAACTACCTCAGTTGGTATCCGAGGCAGTTCCGCTTCCGGTGTGATGGCTGAGGCTTCAGCCTAGCACAACTTAAACGACGCATGCGTACTGAGCCGTGACGGTGTCATACCCAAGACGCGCCAGCAGCGCCCCCTTGCGGGCGGATGAGGGGAGGATAAGCAGAAGGGACTGGATTGATTGTAGGCTTCCAAGTCCAAGGGTTGAATGAAAAGTAATGCCTCCACCTTCGTTACTTGGGTTTGGTTGGGAATATTTTAATAAATCCAACCCAGAAATAATCCTTAAAATGTGCTCTTTAACTACCACTATTCATTTTTCCACATAATCACCAGGCAATTGGATACATTTCTGCCAACAATGAACAAGTTTCTGAAGCTGTCACAGAAGAAGTCGACACTCTGTTTCCGCAACCAGCATCTCACAGTTCTCTCAACGTCTTCATCAGAAGCATAATGATGTCCCCGCAGATCTTCTTTCATTATCAGGAATAGATGGAAGTCAGACGGTGCTAAATTTGGACTGGCCTTACGGTGGTGAGATCCAGCCTCTGAAGTTTCAAATCTGCGTTTTCTTTTCTTATATATATATATATATATATATATTATTTTATTTTATTTAAGTAGACATACATTGCAAGTGTTTGTTGCATTCACTCACTACCTCTGAGGATGCTTGCCATAGATGCAGGCGAAACGTCAGGAGAAATGCCTCTAGAACATGGCCCTATAGCCCGAAAAAACCCACAAGAGCCTAGTGATTCAAGCCATGAAAGCCTTCGACAATACATTCAGTGCAATACTATATAGGATCCTCTATATACATTTTTAGTTTAATTTTACATTAATCATTGTAAAACTGTTGAATCATTGGTTGTCATTCATTAACAAACTTATCTAATAGTTCTCCTCTTAATAATACAGTTATTTTGTCCATTATCAGTATATCTATAATATATTTTCCCCATTCTTCTAAAGGAGGTATCTCTGGGATTTTCCAATATCTAGCATATATTATCAAGTCTGCGCTTTCATTTCAGGTGTCAGTATCCTTGGTACCCATCGTGCACAGATCTGCCGATAGCCAAGCAAAGCAATAATGTGACTAACACGTTCTTGTGAAATGCCGATTATTCTTGAAATTTTTCTCTGAGTGATACGACGATTGCCCTGAATCAATCTGTCAACCTTTTGCTTGTGAAACTCGTTGGTTGCTGTCACAGGACATCCAACTCTTTGTTTGTTACGCAAGTCCCACCTTAACATTTTTAAACTTACTCGCCCAATGACGCACAGTACTCACATCAACACAGTCACCATAAACAGCTTGCATTCTCTGATGAATCTCCTTTGGGGTGACACCTTCTGCTATCAAGAATTCAATGACTGCATGTTGCTTAAGTTGCATTGACTGACCATCATAGGGTTCCATACTTCGCACTTTAACAACACAACCGTTCAATACTAAGGCTTTCCGCCAAAATGGAACTGTAGAGAAGAGTCTACTGAATAAGCCAGTACCTGCAGCATACTAGTACTGCCATCTGTTGAGGAGTTATGAAGGTGGAGGCATTACTTTTCATTTAACCCTCGTATAATGCAGTTTAACTCATTCTATGAGTCTTCCCCAGGCCTGGCAAACTTCAGCTCCCCAGGTGTTTTGGACTTCAACTCCCACAATTCCTAACAGCCAATTTATGATATGGATGGAAACTGAACAGATACAGACTTTCCACATCTTCAAGATATTGACCTTGTGCTTGATTTTCATTTTCTACCAAAGACGCGTGAAGTTTCCCAGTTGAAGCACAACAATACTGCAACAGTAACATATGAGAAACATTTACAATAATGTCTGATACATCTATTTTATTTTGATACGCACAGTTTAGAGATATGATGGTTATGACGGGAGAAAAAAATACTTGTCCATGTGAGCCTTCTTTACAGGGTCCATCAAATCTTATTATATTTATCGTGTGATAACATACTTATGAGTTACACACTTATCATGTGAGTTGGTACCTTCCCATTTGGAGTTACTGCGGAGTTAGTTTGGCTTTTGACATTTGTATTTAAATTTGATGTATTGGCTCACATAGCTTCCAGTTTATGGAAGTCATTTCTCCTTCAGTGCTCTCCATAATGGAGACCACCGTGATGCTGTTTGTTATTAAGTGAATTGGGATGCTATTGCGTTGCAGAATGATACACCTTTCTTCAAAATAGAGTGTTGCCAGTGTTACAGTGTTTATTAAACCCCCTTTTCATTTCATTTAGTGGAGCTTTGGACATCCGCAGTACAAGGTGTAGCTATACTGTAGAATTAATAAAGTTTGTCACCAATTTAAATGTCATGGCTCAATGCTATAGAATCCTGGTATTTATAGTTTGGTGAGGTACCAGCACTCTTTGGTAGAGAAGGTTAAGATCTTGTAAAACTGCAACTCCCTTTGTTCAACTGCATTGAGCCATGGTAGTAAAGGTGGTGTCAAATTGTATCAATTCTACAATATAGCTACCCTGCATTTAACTGTATGGCTATACTGAGTGTATATTTTCCTTTCAAAGTTTTAAGGACAAAACTGAGAATGGTTAAGTTTGTGAATGACTAGTACAGCTCCACAAAATTGTCAACATCCCACTTAATACAAGTCGCAGGAGAGAGGAACAAGATACATTGCCCATAGTGCTTTCATGTGCTGCTTGTGGACTTTCCTAATTGACCACAATGGGGCTTAGGATCCTGGATGATAGAAACCCTTGGTATAATCCAGCAGTACTTTAAAAAGTGCTACTTGCAGAGATAGGATATGAGTAGAATGTTTTTGCTGATAAACATGATTGTACACATTGTCACTGTGTGTGTTTCAGCCCTTTATTTTTCAAGGTTTTTGTTTATATATATATATATATTTCCTTTCCATTTTCTGGGCAAGCCCATGCTTTTTGTTCTAGTTTTAAATGAACGTTTTTGATTTTGTTCTTCCCTCCTTCTCTCTAGCAGATCATATAATCTGAATTGGGACGAGACCACCACTTTAAATTTTGCCATTTATGTATCACGTTGCTTTAACAGAGACAAGGTAGGAATGCACTTTCCTCTATCAGCCTTTATGACTTTACACAGTTAATTAAACTTGTCCACTGAATAACAATTTTTGTTCCCTGTTCATCTCCATTCTTGTCATGCCCACAATGAGATATTTCTTTGTTAAAAGCAACAGAATAATTTTGACCCCAGCAACCAATTTTATTCCAGAAAGTAATAAGAAAGCAGTAAGCAAAATTACTTCTGCAGCAGAGAATGCACACTGATTTAACCCTGCATCATGTTTTGTTCCTCTTTATACTTTAAATCCATTAAGAGAGAATAATTCCCATGGTTTTTCCTTTCACTCATGTCAAGGAGCCTAATCATATTTTAATATAGGAACTGTTGTAATATGACCAAAACAAGGCTATATTGAATCATTGTTTTTTGTTTGTAGTTTTGGATATAAGTATACAGGAAAGGGTTGTAGGATCATGTTTAAACTAACCACCTCTTCAGTTGGGGCATATTTGCCCTGTTCTGCCGCTTTGTTTTGTGGCAAGGATGGGGCCTGCTGTACACCATCTCCAACTGAGCTACCCACACTTTCCTTCTCCTTCCCCAGTATGATGGGGGAAAGGGTGCTGAGGCAATACACATTGCTGCCCATTTCCCCATCTGATGGGGACAGGGACAGGGTGCCAATGCAATATGTCCCATCTCCACCATGGGATAAGGTGGAAGGGTGCATGTGGTGAAAGGACCATGTGAAGAGGTCCTAAGTCTGATGGTAGAGTTCAATCTTTCTTAGAACTTCATCCAATGCAGTCTTTTCTCTGTCTTCTCTGTGCTGCCAAAATAGAGTTGCATGGAGGCCATCACATGGTTGCCCATGAGAGCTTCTTGCTGCAGCGCAAAGATACAGAGGGAATATTGCATTTTCAGGAGTCGGGTGCTATCTGACTTCCAATGACAGAAGGCAGAGTGAAGGCTGATAGAAGTGGGGAAAGGCAGAGAAAAGACATGGGGACCTTTCCCTCTTGGGAATGAAAGAAGATGGTCTCCTCCTCTTTCCCCTGCTTTTATGTGTTGGAATCCTGAGACATGTTATAGAATCATAGAACTATAGAGCAGCATGGTACACCAAAAGTAATTTAGCTCATTAGAAAATCCATGCAAACGCATCCCTTTCATATTGCCATTCAACTTCTACTTAAATTTCTTCCATGAAGAAAAGTCTGTTTGGACTGTAGTTTTTGGTTTTTTCACCATCAACTCTATTGACTAGAGCTGATAGGAGCTGCAGTCTAAAAACATTGGGGCTGTACTTTGTCAATCATGCTGTAGGAAAAATCTAAAAATGCCAGCATTGGTGGTCTATATCAGTTCTAATAGGGTTGTGTCTATCATGATCACGTCTTTTGTAAAGGTGATGTGCTTTTATTGTTTATTGAAGACCAACCCACCAAGAACACCTTGCATTTTGTTGCTGAAATAATCCATTTTCCCTCCTGTTTCTGTGAAAATTGTAGTTGGAGCACGAAAGCTTGAGGGGTATGTGAAATTATTTCACTCTCATCTGGTGAGCCCTACATAATTGCACTTCTACTTCATGAAACTTTGTCCTCCGTGAATAGATTCAAAATGGCTTTGGCAATAATCTAGCTTATTTTCACTAGAATGTGTAATACAGTCACGTATGTCATATTGTTTTGAATAAAAAGTTTTTATTATACCTGAGATCATACATTTGAAATCTGGGGGAAAACAACAACTCATCTGTTTATAAAGAAACATGGATGGATATTTGATAAAACAATATTAAGCAAATCGCAGCTGAACAAAAAACATTTCACAATGTAAAATAGCATTAACAATTGAATGGAAAACATCATCTGGCCAGTTCTTGCCTCTTTAATGACAGTTGGATTTCTAGCCATCAGCCAAAAAAGCTTTTCATAGTGTGGGGGTAAACATTATGCCATGTGATATCAAGCTGCTATTAAAAGCATGGGGGTGCTTTGGGAGAAATAAAAAAGAATCTGGCAAGCCTAATTCACAGCATCCTTTTTATATACATAAATCTACATAACTGATATCCATTCAGAAACATAAAACATTAATCTGTAAGATAAATCGTCTCAGAAATCATAATCGTAATTGTGTTTTAAATCAATATAGGAAATATAGATAGATCTGACAGTAGGGTAAGCTCCATTTAACTTCAGGTCTCACCCAGTTTCTATTGATAAGTCACTATTTCTTAATCTAACCAACAAAGTTATTGAGGGTTTTTTTCAAAGTGTCACTTTGAACCCTTTGGGTGATGGATATGTTACTAATGTTTCAAATCAAATGCTAACTCAGTTCTTGTGGGTTTTTTCGGGCTATATGGCCATGTTCTAGAGGCATTTCTCCTGACGTTTCGCCTGCATCTATGGCAAGCTTCCTCAGAGGTGAGGTCTGCTGGAGCTGGGAAGAAAGGGGTTTATATATCTGTGGAATGACCAGGGTGAGACAAAAGGCTTTTGTAAGTTGGGTTGGGTGTGAATCTTTCAACTGACCACCTTGATTAGCATACAATGGGCTGACAAATGCTAACTACTTGTCACAGTTGGGCTGGGGCTTCTTTTGAAGCATTAAACAATTAGTTAGCCTTAAAAGGGTTTTTTTTAATATATATATATATTTGAAATGTTGCATATAGAATATACAAAACACATTCGACATCATTCTCAGAGCAATATGCAAAGGAACTGTATAGTACAGCTTTCCCTTTGCTTTCACTTCCAGTAGTTCTTTGTGGCTTGTTTTGGCAAATCAATAATTGTTTTTATTTTCCATTTATATATTTGTAGTACTAATGCAAAGACTGAGAAGTAGGACTGCTGCTGGGAAGATTATGAAGAAGCGTCGAGCCCATGCTGTTTGTATCTCTTGTTTGTTTGGACTCGGGAGAATGGCTGGGGTGCATTAATGATCTAAAATTACAGCCAAAGCTATAAATAGGGAAATCTTGAATCTATAATTGGAATAAAAGAAGGGTCTCATAAATGAAAAAGAAAGAAACAAGGCTGTCGTGCATTATGTTATAGGGAAAATATGTAAAAAATATTGTACATTGGCTTCATGCTAAATTTATGAGATTTATACTGTGCTGTGAATTCATTGAATATTATGCATGTTATGAAGTCTAGCTAACCTGAAGTATCTACATGAAACATGCATATGTATGATTGTGGCAGTTTCCAAATTTTCCTCACACTCTAATGCCTTTTTTTGTTTTTAAAACAGATAATGACCTATTCTGTATAGTTTGTTTGTTCTGCAGTCCACAAGTTGTTAATTTATATTTTGTATTTCATTCAAGGTTACTTTTGCAGCCTGAGATTGTGTTGGAATACAAACTATGTATGCAATGCTTATGTACATCCTTTCTATTAGTATTTATTCAGAAAATCCTTTGGGTTAATGGATTGGGTTTATAGAAATATTAAGGATGGATTGAAATATGCTTAGGATATACCAACAGCACTAAATTATAAAGAGTGGTCTATAAATCACTTAAAGAGATAATTTATTTTGCAAGTGACTTAAAATATTACTTGATTATTTGCTGAACTATATGAAAGGAAATGTAAAGACTGTCAGCATATATGTGATTTTCAGTGCCGTGAAGGAAGCCCCTCTGTTACTGAAAATGGATGAAGCATTTATAACCTTATAAATATAGAAACATGTCCAGCCATTTTCCCATGTCTGTGTGTCAGATAAATGGCAGAGTGGCTTGACCTCATTGTTTTTCTTATCCATTATCTGTCAAACTAGTACAATTGGCACAACACAATTACATCCTTCTTCCAATAAGACATATAATTTCGTGCTGATAACAAAATAAATGAATGCTCTCTTATTATCTTATCTAAAACTACAGGAAATACTGATTAAAATCTCTTTCATTCCTCAACAGTAAATTTTCTATGCATGAAATATTTTGGCAAGTTCCTGTACAAGTAAAAAATAAAACAAGAACAGAGGAAATAATTTATCAGCTTCTGATATTTCAAATAAGCAGATAATATAGAACAACGGAAAACAGAATGGAATATAACACAAAATAAAGAACATTTTCAAAATTCTGTATTAAAAGTACTTTACACGCAGCAAAGAACATATCTAATTCTATTCTGAACAGAAATTACTTCATTATGCTAAAAGCAGTGTTATAAAATGGAATCAGTGAGTGTGCTATGTTAGTCCATGCAACAAAACCGGCAAAAAAAATTGACATCTTAAAAACTAACACGTACATTATGGCAAACCTTTGAGGACTATAACATGCATCTGATAAAATGGGCAATCGTCCATGAAAGTTTATATTGTATTAATAAATGGGTCAGTTTTTAAAGTGGCATAAAAGTATTTATTGTTTGTACTGGATCTGGTAATTCCAGGCTGATTGTTAGAGTCTGTTTAGTGCCTGGAATTCTTCTTTTTTTGTATGAGGTTTAAAATAAGTTAAATTCCCTGATTATGTCCAATAACACCTCGCCCCATGTTGGAAAACACAATATGTTAAAGTGAAAACATATTAATGGTATTTGAAATAACATTTGTTTGCTTAAATGATATAAGTGATTAGCCTCTTGTTTGTCTCTATCCCAGTCACAAAAGTTATCATTATTCTTCTGATTTTACAATGTAATATCAAATATTTAGACTTACAGCAAAACTTCATGTCTACTTGGAAGTCTAACCTGCAGTTCAGTGACACTTAAGTGTTTGTAAAATCTGCATTTATTTCATTGTAGGAGACCAAGGTTTGAACTCCTCTTTGACCTTGAAGCCTTGGGCAAGTCACAGTTTCTTGGCCTCAGAGGAAGGCAGAAGCAACCCTCATCTGAACAAGCCTTTGCAGGGTATGTTTACCTCAGGGTCACCATAGATCAGAAATGATTTGGAGGAAAACAACAAGAAGGATGTTTCAAATCAGGTGTATGTGTGTATGCACGCTAATATAGATGTAGAAAGTATGTAGGGAATTTGCTGTGCTAAAAATACTATCAAGGAGAATGCCCTGTAGAAATATTTAAAGATATTTTAAGGTGCTTCTTTGCCTTGTCATCAAATTTTGGGATTTGAAGAAAGTAATTTCTGTTTAAAATAAAGAACTACATTGTTCACAAAAATATGTGTTGATGAACAAATAGGAGAAATTAACAATAAAGTTATTGCGTATTCAAGAAACCTAGCCTTCTATACAAGATTTCAAAAACTTCTGCAATACATAACATAATTGTGATCACAGTAAATGTGTACATAGCAATAAGAAAGATTGTCTTTTCAAAATGTTCCGGTACCATGCATCTGGTAATATTAAACTTTTTATCAAGGGCTCCTGCATCACATCTGTAGAGTGGATTCACTTGAAAACCAAAGAGCTGACTCTGGAGCCAAAAAGCCACAACTTCAAGGATGATCCTTAACAGAACAGAGAGAATATAAAAAACGGTGTAGGCAGGTCTTTGAAGGATATCTTCCTGAGCGATGCTTTTACATGCAGCATAAAGATGGAAAATGGCTCCAGGTACCAGTACGGTCACTAGTTGTAAAGCCCAGAATACCTAAAGTGTAGCAGAAACTCGGCTGTCAGATCATTTATGACTGTACCATACTATCTGATATGGACATCCTTCTGAGTGTCTTGAGACGCTTGCTTTGTTCTTTGTAGATCATTTTAAAATACTATTTTAAATATAGCATTTGTCTGAAAAATGATATTATAACTTATTCCAAAATATGGTTCATTGTATATGAACAATGAGGTGGGAAGTTGAATACAAGAGTGTCTAGGCATACATAAACCTTTAATGCAGCCCTGATTCAGTGTAATGTATACCATGTTTCACTGTTTTACAATGAACTGAATATCTTTTTTCCACATTTTTTTTTGGGTATTATATAAAGACCAAATGAGTTGGGGCAGGGGTAAATGGTCGTTCTCATGACACATAGAGTCCATTTGCCCTAATACCCACCAAGGTTACTTAACACAGTCTTCAGACACATTTTGAAAGTGTAAGTGGTCTGGCCAGTTCTGATTCAGAACCAGCCATAGCTGTTCACTGACCATCCCGCTTCCCCTGGACTCAGGGTGCCAGGGGATGGCACTTACCATCCCAGCCCTGTGTCCTTCCCTAGTAGGGTGCGGAATTGCTGGTTATCATTGTTCATCTCATCTGCTGATGCTTGTTGGAGCACCAGGATGATTGGAGAAAGGAGAAGAGAAAGCGATTCTTCTCCCTCACTTCTACATGACTCTGGTGCTGTGGACAGCATCACTAGATGTGAAGAGCGATGGCCATCAGGCAATTTCATGTCTGATGGTTGCTTCTTAGCTGAGGACAATAAGGGTGGCCATCCAGCAGCACCGAACTAGGGCACCAAGCCATGCAGACTCCTTTCAGCCATTAGGCCAGTTCAGTTCTACACATGCAGACACCTGTTAGTCGCCAAACCATAAAACAAAATACTTTCACGGTGTAACACACACATGTAAACACCACAAGTAAAATATAGATAACAATAAAGTAAAACTAATATTTCTGGTCATCTATGCATCAGAAGGGTAATTCCAACTTCTTATTTTGCCAGGAAGTGACCTTCTGGCAGGGAAGCATCATTCTGTATCACCACTCCATTGAAACCAGCAACATCCTCATAGGATAGGAAAGCTGCATCAGTGTTTACAGATATGTTGAAGTTTTTGGAAAGTTCAGCACCGGAGAGGCATAAGATGTGTACAGCATCCCAAGCTGGAAGAACTATTGGCTTTCAAAACCTTAAAAGTGTATACTTTTGGAGAAATCAAACATCAAAACTTTCCCGAGCTTTTAATCTAAATGCTTCTCAAATAGCAATACGTGTTAATTTTGCTTCTTGCTTTCTGCTAGCATCATATAAACTAGTTATTTTGTGAAGCAGTGCTCTATTTTCAAGTACACTTCACAAATCCCTCTCAGCATATTTATCTTGTTTTGTCTTACAAGAGAAAAATATTTACCTGTGGGGTTATAGGCCTGAACTGGTTGTAACAAAATAGATTAACTTCCCTCTTGTCTGGCTCACAGCTGAAGTGTAAGGCTTCATTTCCGTAAACAGCAAAACCCAAAACACCAAGGAAGAACATTCGCACTGAGCCAAAGAAAAGTGTGTGGAATTGTCCAATCACGGTTGGAGGCCTAAGCTGTAAAGAACCATACAGAGATTAAATAGGAAAGAATGCGGAAAATGAAACAAATAAAAACATAGTTCTTCAAGGTTTATCTATACTCTCCATCATTCCTTCAGTATAGTGCTTCTTTTAATTTATGAAAGCAATATGATGATATATGGTTTAAAGTAGTTAATTAATAATTTTATGGTAGTATTGTTTTATCTAAATTTGTCTCCAGGTAGACGCAGTATGAAAATATTGTTTGTTTGTTGTTGTTTTTTAAAAAATAATGACTACTTTCTTACTGAGGGAGATTCTACTCTTCTTCCAGCCACAAAAATGTGTTGTCACATCACCCTTATGGAAGTGAGTACATTATTATTAAACATCTCATGATATGTAGAATATCTTCCTTTTTAAAAAAATAAGTAAGTTTGATAAAGATCTTAAACTCTTAGCCTAGAATGGGAAATACAATCCTCCATATTTTTGGACCTCGGCTTCCACCTTCCTTCGCCATTGACTATGCTGGCTAAGGATCATGGTAATGACAGTGCAATGAACTTATCATTCCAATAATCATAAGATATTTGGTATTTGAGTTAAGGAAAGAAAACATTTAGTACAGCTTTGGAGACATGCTTAACATTTGTCTCTAAAGTGATAATATAAAAGCTCTCTTGGGTGATGGATAACCAAATCAAAGGTTGTAAACCCAAAGAAATCTGAGATTCAAATGACTGAGGCCAAATGTAGATTTCAAAGGTCCATTTCCGTATTATAGTCAAGACCAGAATTACACCCTCCTATTGATGTCAGCTGATTTCCCCCTTCCAATTGTAGTCAGACACTACCTGGAAGGCCTTCTGGATTCAGACAGTGCATTACAGATCATGCTATAAAAATTCCTACCATAAAGATTTGATTCAATGGACAACTTGATGATTTTTTTTTAAAGCACGACCTCCCAATAACCATTCCAGTAGGAACAATCATGTATACCAGATCAAACATTTTCTAATTGTAGTATTGTACTGTAAGAACTGGCAATTTACATATCTAAGTATTTCAGACAGACAACCAAACAGACCCATAAGTATTCCAAATACAGTTTCAAACCTTTGAGGCTGCTCATAGAAGTGCCATTATAATCAATAAGAATCATTACAATCAACTATTGTTTGGCCTTAAAATAATGTGTTGACATCTTGTGTCAATTCTAGAACTTAGTATACATTTTAAAAATCAGAAGCTAGTAGCATAATACACATTTGCTTTTAGGGAACACAATATTCCATTCTATATACTGGGAATGTTTTTTTATAGCCTCTGTATTCACTCAATTGTTTGTAACAAACCCGCCTTTTGAATCCTGATTATCTCCCAATAATGGGATTTTTTTTTCCACGAGCACTTCTCATCTCATTCATACTTACACATCCTTCATAGAAGTTCTTGATGTAATTTAAAGACATGTCTTGTAAGATGTTCTCCTAGCACAATTGTGGAAATAATTCCTACGCTTCATTGCCAATTTGCTGTCATCGAGCTCATTCTGGTGCCATTACTCTCTTCTTGACCTTTGCTATGGAAAACACTTGTCACTGCACAATTTTGCTGTTTTATCTCTGGGGCCCCAATTAACCTGACACTTTCAGGGATGGAGGGAGGGGGTTGGGGGAAGCCCAAACAAAAGCTGTGTACATGTGGCCTGGCCAATAATCCCCTGCGAACGCAGTCAGCAAAAACAATCTCTCAACCCGACCTCATAAACTAGCAGCCGGCAGCACAATGGGAGAACGTGCAACTGGCCACCGAGTCACCTTGTTATGTTAGAAACACATGACACCCCCTGCCTTCATTCCCAGGGCTGGTCTAGGTGGCAGCTATCCCCAGAGCTAATTTTTCAAAACAGCACGCAACTGGCATGGCGGTGCTACATGAAAGAGATGTATTAACTAGCTCAGTCTGACTACGAAACACTACTTAGAACATTATCATCTCATAGGGCTCCTTCCTCCCATCGATTCCCATGTGGGAGTCTGCAATATTCTCATATAGATGGAGAATGACTGGTGTGCTGACAGAAATCTAATTGCTGAATTGTATCATCCTTAAAAACAATACACACCTGTCTTTGGGATGTACACATCAGTCTCATATTGAAAACTACTGTATGTTTGAGAATGAAAATATATTCCATAGCCAAAACAATGCAAGGGCCTTCTCTGCTGTTGAATTCCCTCCCCAGTGACATCAGAACAGCCCCCTCACCCTTAAGTTTCAGGAAAATAATCTTAAGACTTGGCTATTTAAGCAAGCCTTTGCAGGTTAATATGATCCATAAATATGGAAAAAGCAATTGGTTTAATGTTTATAAAGCTAAATTGGAGCTAGACCTTTGAGATGTTTTTAATCATCTGACAGATTATTTATAATTGATAAGTATATGTTTTTACAGTTTCATAATATTGTGTTTACTGTTATTGTTATTGTCTGAATCTGGCATTGAAATATTGCCCTTCGGGGGTGAGAAGGGCAGGGTATATATTCAGTAAATAAATAATAAATAATTATGCAATAATAATAATAATAATAATAATAATAATAATTCTTTATCTATAGTCTGCCCTATCTCTCTGAAGGGACCCAGGGTGGCTTACAAGAAAATAAAACACAGTGGCAAACATTCAACATATAGCAAATCATAAACAAGTTCAATAAAAATTATAAAAACATCTTAAATAAACAAAACATGACACAATCCGCACAATTACAACATATTAAATCCTTCAAATCCCTAAAATTTGACTAAAACTATTGAAGTGAAGATGGTAAAGAGCAGTGGTAGATGTTCAGCAACTAGGTGAGGGTGTTTATGAAGTGTAATTAGTCCTCCTCCTCATCATAGGCTAAGATGCATAGATACATTATGTCTGTAGATATACTCAAACACGGGACATGAGAGAAGCCTCCCATAGGATAGTAAAAAACATACCGGCATCCCCGTCTTTGCAGATGGCCAATTCTCTCACACCAGAAACAACTTGCAGTTTCTTAAGTCGCTCCTGACATGAATATATATATATATATATATATATATATATATATATATTCAAAACATTCTTAATCTTCAGCCTTCATCTTCAAGCTGAGATCATGACCTAAAATAACTGCATTTTCCTATTCCCATCTCTAGAAAGACTAATTCCTTATATAGATAGAGATGGGATGATACTGATCTATCTTAGCTCCATTCTTTTTCTTATATCCCAGGCATGGGCCAACTTGGGCGCTCCAGGTGTTTTGGACTTCAGCTCCCACCATTCCTAACAGCCTCAGGACCTTTCCTTTGCCCCCTCAGCCGCTTAAGCAGTAAACACAATATTATGAAACTGTAAAAAAAAGTTGAGGCTGTTAGGAATGGTGGAGTTGAGGCTGTTAGGAATGGTAGGAGTTGAAGTCCTGGAGGGCCCAAGTTGGCCAATGCCTGGGATATCCTATCTTCTAGTTCCAAGAGTGAAACTGAAGAAGGGCCCTATATCTTTAATGGTAGCATAGAAAAAGGAATGTGAGCAACTTTTCAAGCCACCAGGTAGCCTGCAACACCTGCTCCAATTCCCTCTTCTAGAAAAGTATTATAGGCACAGGAGCCATCAAGAGGTCCGTTTCCAGCCTGAGAATCCTGTGTCTTTCAAAGTCGCGATTCGGGGACTCCTAAGAGGACCCGCCTTTCCTTTGCCTCCCCAGGAGCCTTGGCGGCTTCCCCAAGGGAGAAATCCAAGGGGAGGCGAAGACGGGCGAGTGAGGGGAGATAGGGATACGCACCAGCCGCAGTCCTGGCGTGGCGTTGTTGGGGCTCCCCATCCGGCCGGCCGCCTGCCTCTCTCTCCGGGGAGATACTCTGCGACCGTCCACGAAGGGAAAGGCTCTCCGGTCGAAGCGAAGGGCTTCCCTGGCCCTTTCCCCCCGCCCAGATGACATTCGCAGAGAGAGAGAGAGAGAGAGAGGCAGAGAAAGGGAAGCGTCCCGGGACAGTCAGCTATCCACTCGCAATGACGCTCCCACAGCCCCACACGTTCCCCTCCCTCTGGTTCCCCCACTTCTTTTCTCTCTGGGCCATTCAATACTCCAACGTCACCACGTTGAACACAACCACACGCACAGGTCCCACCTCTCGGAGCTTTAGTGAAGTTACACCTAGACTTGGGGTGCGGCGTCTACATTGTAGGATTAGTGCCGTTTGGGCACCACTTTAGCTGCCATGGCATCCTGGGAGTTATTGTTTTGACATCGCCCTCTCTGCCAAAGAGCGTGGGGCCTGCCCAAACTACAACCCCCGGGATTCCATAGCATGGAACCATGGCAGATAAAGCGATATAGCAAGCGGCATCCATTCTACACTCTAGAGACAGCCTTAGGAGAGCCTCTCGCCCAGAGCTCCTCTTCCCATTTGGCAATCGGATACTAAACCCCCTAGCATTTTGCGCTGGTGAGGAGGAACAGCAAATACCCTTCTCGGTTGAATCCCCATCCTTGAATCCCCTTCCAGACCTTTCCGACCCATGGGAAAGGGATTTTCCTAAAGTTTGTTCCGAGGGAGTTTGCCTTTGCCTCAGAGAGTGTGGCAACGTCTCCCCAGTGGGTTTCCATCGTCCACCCCAAATTGGGAAGGATAGCTAATATCCCAGAAGACAGGAGCAGAATTCAAAACGATCTTAACAGATTAGAGAGATGATTGGCCAAAACTAACAAAAGGAAGTTCAACAGGGACAAATGCAAGAGACTCCACTTGGGCAGAAAAACTGAAATGCAAAGATACAGAATCGGGGACGCCTGGCTCGAGAGCAGTAAGTGTGAAAAAGATCTTGGAGTCCTGGTGGACAAGAAGTTAAACATGAGCCAACAATGTCAGGCGGCAGCTTAAAAAGCCAATGGGATTTTGGCCTGCATAAACAGGAGTATAGTGTCTAGATCCAGGAAAATCATGCTATCCCTCTATTCTGCCTTGGTCAGACCACACCTGAAATATTGTGTTCTAGTCTGGCACCACAAATGAAGAGAGATATTGACAGGCTGGAATGTGTCCAGAGGAGGGCAACTGAAATGATCAAGGGTCTGGAGAACAAGCCCTATGAGGAGCGGCTTAAAAAGCTGGGAATGTTTAGCCTGAAGGCTGAGAGGAGACATGATAGCTAAATTAGGCCTGGGTAACAACGGAAAAATTTGTTTCTAAAATCGATTCGTTTTTTGGGGTTTTTTGCGTTTCAATATTTAAAAGAATTCCGAATTTTTTTTAAAAAAAAAGTTTGATATTTACGAAATTTCGTAAATGGTAAAAAAATTACAAAACAATAACGAAACAATAACAAACAATAACGAATCGATTCGTTAATGGCGGACGCGACCGCGCAATACGCTAAAAAACCTCCAAATGGGACAGGGCGAACTTCTGAAGCTTCCCTCTCCCTCTGTTGTTGACTGTTGGTGTGATATTATAATTTTTTTTCACTAATTAAACAAAAAACAACTATAAAACTTGCCCCAGACATGCAGAAATAATAACGAAACAACCTCAAACCAATAACGAAACGAATACATAACGAAATACGAAGCATTTACGAAACGAATTGAAAAATTCGTTTCGTTTTTAAGTTGCTCCAGAATGGTTCGTTATCGCTTCGTTAACAAAAAAAAAAACGAATTTTTAACGAATTACGAATTAACGAAATGAAACCGCCCAGCCCTATTAGCTATGTATAAATACATGAGAGGAACTCACAGGGAGGAGGGAGCAAGCTTGTTTTCTGCTGCCCTGGAGACTATGACATGGAACAATGATTTCAAACTACAGGAAAGGAGATTCCACCTGAACATTAGGAAGAACTTCCTGACTGTGAGAGAGGTTCAGCAGTGACAATCTCTGCCCCAGAGTGTGGTGGAGGCTTCTTCTTTGGAGGCTTTTAAACAGAGGCTGGATGGCCATCTGTCAGGGGTGCTTTGAATGCGATTTCCCTGCTTCTTGGCAGGGGGTTGGACTGAATAGCTCACAAGGTCTCTTCCAACTCTATGATTCTATGAGTAGAGTGACTAGTCTCCACAGCCAGAGTCTGACACAGAAACTTTGTGGTGTTTTGACACCTGAGAAAGACATATTTCTCCCCATTTGTGGCAGAACTGCTCTACAATAACAGCAAAGTAAACACGGTCTCTCTTTCTATTCATAGATCACGTATCCATGGGTTCATTCATCCATGGTTTGAAAATATATTTTTAAACAAATCTTGATTTTCTTATTTTATAAAAGAGGGTCCTTGGATTTAGGTATCCACAGGAGGTCCTAGAACCAAATTCCAGTAGATAGGAAGGACCAATTATAAGTAAAATTTTGCTGTTTTTCCATGATACTTATAGAAGGAAGCTTCTGTATGAATTTGCTGTCCTTCCATGACACCCAAAGTCCTTCCTTCCGTGTGAAGAGCAGTCATCACATGCTTAATGGTAAGACAGGGTTTGATAATCAAATGGATAATGCAAAATAACTTTGTTATTCATTCATGTACAAAGTCTACAAATTCAGAAAAAGAGAGAAACCATTTTAAAGCCTTTTAAAAATCAATCTGATTATCATAATTACAAGGTAACCAAGAGTTGTAAGCAGAAGGACTTCACTGGAGCCAAGACTCACCAAGATTTTTTACTTATCTGGTGGGCTTTTGGCTTATCTGGTGGACTTTTCCACAAACGCAGTTGGTGGGGACGAGGGAGAGGGCCTTCTTGGTGATGACCCCTTGGCTTTGAAACATCCTCCTCAGGGAGATTAGGCAGGCCCCCACATTGTTGTCCTTCCATAAGGACTTGAAGACGTGGTTGTTCAAACAAGCTTATGAGAGTGGCTAGTTCCTAGTTGTTCTGCGCAATAGTTACACAGCCTTGCACTTTATCGCATGCTCTCTTTCTATGGTTACACCTCTGCGCTTATCCCATTTCCTTGTCCTATTGTTTACAGCCTGGCCACCAGTTTACAGCAGCTTACCACCATTGTTTGTTGAGCACAGTTTTATTGAGTTTTATGTTGTTGTTTTATATGTCTTTGTGTTTTACTCTATTATATTTTATATTGTGTTTTATTTTACGCTCTGTTTTAGGCACCTTGTGCTGTGTGTAATCCGTGCTGAGTCCCTTCAGGGTGATGGTGGCAGGATACAAGGTTGTTGTTGTTGTTGTTGTTGTTGTTGTTGTTGTTGTTGTTATACTCTAGATCAGAGTTCCTCAAACTGGGGATCCTCCAGATGTTTTGGATTTCAGCTCCAAAAATTCCTAACTGCTGGTAATCTGGATGGGATTTCTGGAAGCTGAAGTCCAAAAAACCTGGAGGAGCACAGTTTGAGAATCACTGCCCTAAATGATAATTAACAGGTAATGGATAATATGTATTAAATGATGTACATATGGGACGTATGGGAAGATCCAACCAGTCCATACTTTAGGAAATAAAGCCCTACTGCTCATTGGAGGGAAGGATAGTACAGGCAAAGATGAAGTACTTTGGCCACATCATGAGAAGAAAGGAAAGCTTAGAGAAGACAATTATGCTGGGGAAAATGGAAGGAAAACGGAAGAGGGGCCACCAAGGGCAAGATGGATGGATGGTATAAAGACTCCTTTACGGCTGTCTGGGCAGGGGGTCAAACAATCCCACCAACTGTCCCTCCTTTAATAAAGACTTCACTGGCACCTATATAACATTTGAGGAGATGTCTCACTAATTAAACTTCCGCTGCCACCATAACTAAATGTACAGGAACACTCTAGCTATTTAAAATATTAAAAAGGGCTTCTAGGACCACCAAGTACTGTGTTTTAAAGGGCTTCTTTGAAGGAAAACAGGTGAGGTTGAATTAAAAGGAAAAGGGACTAAATCCACAAATGTACACTTGACTCAGGCTTAAGTTTAAAAAAAAAAACAAGGAAAGTTTATTTAATATAGTACAGAAGAAAGTGTAAATGCTGTTTAATAGGCTTGGCTGTTACAGATAAAATGTTCTGGTACTTGAAAACGTAACGGTTGCATGAGAATGGTTCTTTCTTTGTTACAAATATAAAACCCAGCTATTTCTTCCCTAAATAGCTGTACCCAGTTTGCCACAGCTCACTTCGCTGGCAAACTTCAGGCAAACTGCCTATTCTTAACACGAACTCCTAAAAACTTCTCTAATCCTGCTCTAACTCTAACATCAACAGACTGACTGACTAAAAAAACTTCTTTCTTTCCCTCCAAACAGTCTAACTCCGCCCCTCTTTAATAAACCAATCCTGGCTGCTCTAAGGCTGGCTCAGGCCTAGGCCACTCCCCCTCTCTGAAATGGAGCTTTCCCTAAACTAAAATGGCTCCTGCTGCCCTCTGCCAGGCCTTCTGAGCTGTAACTAACTGGCCTGCCTCTCCTAGGCCCTGCCACCCAGGCTGGCAAGGTAAGGGATCTTCACAGATGGCATCCTTGAAGTGACTGGATTGATCTTGAAGGAGCTGGAGATGGTGACTGCCACAGGGAGCTCTGGCGTGGGCTGGTCCATGAGGCCATGAAGAATCGGAAATGACTGAATGAATGAACAACAAATGGGGCTTGGGTTTCTAGAACACAGAGTTTCTTTAACTTTTATGGATAAATCATTTTCATTCTGTCCACTTTTTTCCATTCTGAAAAAATATGACTTGCTTCCTAAAGTAATTCCTGGCTTCCAGATATACTTAAACTAATGGGATTAAAAATGTATAGTCCCCTGACATCTTAAAACAGGAGGTTTATCTTTGTAGTAAACAGACAGCAACATATGTCCTAAAGAAGTGGTTCAAGATTGCTTACATATTTGATGGAATGTGGATTTGGGAACTCGGATGAAACAGCATATGAGAGAGTGAAAATCTGATAGCGGCAAGCAGTGTCTTTCCATACACTTGTATTCTTATATCCCCGCCTGAGTTTGCTTAACCACTTATATGTAAATGGAGGACTGTGTGCAGTAGTGTGTGTGCGTGCATGTGAGGGTGCACGTGTGTGCATGTGTGTGTGTGTGTGTGTGTATATGTGTGTGTGTGTATATATATATATATATATATATATATATATATATATATATATATGCGTGTGTGTATATACATATACATACATACATACATACATATTCAATGTTTTGGGTCCCTCCTTTCCCCACACATTTGTCCTTCATGATTTAGCAGTGGCAGAATATGTGCTAGATCAGGGCTTCTTAAACTGTCCCACTCAGGACCCCTTTTGCTCTGAGAAATGTTTACCCTGGGTAGATAGTTATCAAACAAGTATAAATATCAAATATTTGCATCTTTTGAAGAGTCCACTGTAAACACTGCACAACAACTATAAGGTGATGTTCTGAAAACTCTTTCTGTTGCCAATTTTTTCAGGTCCCCAACATTGAGCTAAATGGGTCCCATTTGGGGTTGGGACCCACAGTTTAAGAAGCAGTGTGCTAGATGATAGTCAGTTGACCTTCCAATGTTTCAGTTCTATGAACATCAGCACACTCCCCCCTTTGTTAGAATATGATTTCAGGCAATGTTATCTGTGATGGATAAAGTAAAAGACCCAGGCAAACATTTCCTTATTATTTTTTTCAAACAGAAACAACCTTGGTTATATATTAAGAAGAGAGAGATAGGGACCAAAAGAAACATAAATGAGCTTGAGGCAATATGGAAATGATGTAGAAGAGAAACATCTAGTTGCTGCCAAGATAATACCTGACTGAGATTCCACCAATGATCTTCCAAGGAAGTTGACTCCTGTTGAAATTTTATTTCTTCAGGTTGACACCCTTGTAGTCTGCATTCCAAAATGGGAAATTTTGCACCAAGATGGCAGACTTTAGGCTTTCAAGATCTGCCTTGTTTTTATTTAGAACTCTGAGGTCTATCAAGCAGAACCAAAAAGAAAACAGGAAGTTGCCTCAGATTATTCATTCTGCTCCATTATTTATTTTCATTTCCCAAACTAGAGTGTTCATGCAAATTCTTTTGCATGCTGAAACATACTTATTTTCCCTTCCCTTCACACACAGTTCCTTGATTTCAGTAGCCAAGCTGATCATGGAAAAAGGAGCTTTGCTCTCAATGGAAATTCTTGCTGAGATCAATCACATTCTATCCACTCCTTACCACACTGGTATAATCCAGAGTTTTGATTCCATAAAGACCGAGAAGAACATTTATCTTGCTAACCAAAGTCATTAGTGATTGACTACAGCACAGAGAGAGGTGTTCTCTCATGTGTGATATGATTTCCCCACGATTTTGATATATATTTAACCCACCTTCTGCTAGATTTTCCCTATCATTCCAGCATAACATCTGCTTTGCCTCTCTAAATTGGCAGTGCCATGTCTTTTATCCCTGGGGGTTCCTTTCTCCATACATGGCTGACTGTCTCATTTATTATAGTCTATTGGATTGTTTGCCTAAAACTTGCTGTCCTCTCTGCTACAACTTCATAATGTCTGTCCTTGCTACCCTCACACCATCCTGATAGGGCTTCTACCTCTCCTACTGCTGGAGAACCAGCAGAAATTCAACAGGTGGGCCCCCCTCATGACTGGCATTTTGGTGTGTAGACTGTTACCAAGGAAACTGCTTCATTGGGAGGATGGGAATTGTTGGATTAAAGCATCATAGAGCACACTGAACATCCTTACACAAATTATTGGTTCATGTTGATGAACCAATTCATGGGGAACTCGTTAAGTTGGATGAAAAATACAAAATCCTTTATAAGAAAAGTGTGAGGCAAGCCAATTGGAACAATATTTGGCAATGGCTGTGCAGTTGTGAATCCTAACTCTCCTTTGTGACAGTATGAATCGATGGTAGCTTACTGCCAAAGTACGCATAATATTTGATCCTTAATCTGCCAAAGCAATGTTCCATTCTAGTCTGGACAGACAGCAGGGGAAGATTGGGCAATTTGAGTTAGGGTGGTTGTTTTAGTTGATTTGTTTTCTTCACTTTTCATCATTCCAGGCTTCCAGGTAGTCATTTTGACCTATTTCTTACTGTAGAGCTCAAACAGGTCATGAGGGCTGGGGTTACTGGGATATGTAATCCACCACACATTTAAACAAAGAAACTCATTCAAAAACAGAGGCACTTACTGACTTCTTGCTGTTTAAGATTTTGTGCTTGGCCAGCTTCTCAAAGGCCTTGCCTTTCATGATTCTCCAGAATGGAAAAGGAAGAGAAGGATCTGATGACAGTTCTAAGTTCTTTGATTAATATTCAATATGCATTGACATATTTATTTATTTATTCATTCATTTAAAACATTTATATTCCGCCCTTCTCGCTCCAAAGGGGGCTCAGGGTGGAGCACAGCATACACATGGCAAACATTCAATGCCGGGACACAGATTCACATACAATACATAAATATTTAAAAAAATTATCAAAATATTAAAATACACCATTTAAAACCATCCTAGTCATCCACATCAAATCATTGGCCTGGTCATCTTTCCTATTGCCGCTTTATTGGTCCCACAGCCAAGTTTTTACCATCCTTCTAAAGGACAGGAGGGCGGGGGCCGACCTGAACTCACCAGGGAGTTCCATAGCCGGGGAGCAATCACCGAGAAGGCCCTGTCTCTCATCCCCACCAATCATGCCTGTGGCAATGGCGGGTCAGAAAGCAGGGCCTCCCCAGAGGATCTTAATCTCCACGATGGTTCATAGGGGGAGATGCATTCAGACAGGTAATTTGGGCCGGGGCCATTTAGGGCTTTATAGGCCAAAGCCATGTTCCTTTTATGGTTAGATTTGGCACAGTGAATCGCAGTGCTCTGTGGACCATCCTCCAAAAATTGGATGCCCTAACAAATTTGTGAACATCCTGCAGCTCCTCCATGATGACATGATGGCAACAGTCCTGGACAGCAATGGCTCCCAAAGTGACCCATTTAAGGTGGAATCAGGTGTGAAACAGGGATGTGTTATTGCCTCAACTTTATTTTCCATCTTTATTGCTATGATACTTCATCTTGTTGATCGGAAGCTTCCCACTGGAGTGGAAATCATCTATTGGACAAATGGCAAGCTATTTAACTTCAGCAGACTGAAAGCCAAAACCAAGGTTAATAACATCTATTATAGAACTCCAGCATGCTGATGACAACGTTGTCTGTGCACATTCAGAAGAAGACCTACAAGCCACTCTAAACACCTTTGCAGAAGCATACAAGAAGCTCGGCCTGTCATTGAACATCGAGAAAACCAAAGTGCTCTTCCAGCAGGCACCAGCCAATTCCTCCCCAATGCCAGAAATACAGATTAAGGTTGTAATATTAGAAAACGTTGATCATTTCCACTACCTTGGCAACCACCTCTCCACAAAAGTCAACATTGACACTGAAATACAACACTGCCTGAGCTCTGTGAGTGCAGCTTTTTTTCTGAATGAAGCAGAGAGTGTTTGAGGACTGGGACATCCGTAGGGATAGCAAGGTGCTTGTTTATAAAGCTATTGTCCTCCCGGTGCTGCTGTATGCCTGCGAGACATGGACTGTCTACAGACGTCACATGCAATTCCTGGAACGATTCCATCAGTGCTGGAAAATTGGGAAGACAAGCCGACAAATGTCAGCGTGCTGGAAGAAGCAAAGACCACCAGCACTGAAGCGATGGTCCTCCACCATCAACTCCGCTGGACCGGCCATGTTGTCCGGATGCCCGATCACCATTTCCCAAAGCAGTTGATCTACTCCGAACTCAAGAAAAGAGATTTAAAGAGATGGGGGTCAAAGCCAACCTTAAAAACTCTGGCATAGACACTGAGAACTGGGAAGCCCTGGTCCTTGAGCGCAGGAGCTGGAGGTCAGCTTTGGCCAGCAGGGCTGTAGAATTTGAAGATGCACTGATGGAGGGTCAACATGGAGAAGCGTGACAAGAGGAATGCACATCAAGCCAAACCCGACCGAGACCGCCTTCCACCTGGAAACCAATGCCCTCACTGTGGAAGAAGATGCAGAGCAAGAATAGGGCTCCACAGCCACATATGGACCCACAAGAATACTGGAAGGGTGAAAGAGAGAAATGTGCCAAGAGGAAGCCAACCCCAACCGGGACTGCCTTCCACCTGGAAACCAATGCCCTCACCACGGAAGATGCAGGTCAAGAATAGGGCTCCACAGTCACCTATGAACCCACCATCAGTACACTGATTCTGGAAGGCTATACTACTCCAACAAGGAGGTAGCACCTAAGTAAGTAATAGCTCTTTCCTATAATCTATAACAAGTAGGGGCAAACTTGGCACTCCTACTGTTTTGGACTTCAACTCCCACAATTCCTGGCCTCAGACCCCTTCCTTTCCTCCCTCAGCCGCTTAAACGGGGGGGGCCCTTGCAAGATAAGGGCAAAATGTTCTTCTGACACGCCTTTCAGCACTTTGGGGCGGACAGTTCCCCTTCACCCACCGCCTGGCAGGATGGCGACTCTGTGGTTTCTGCGGGGAAGAGGGAAAGGGGTCTCTATACGGAGTGGAAGGGTTGAATCTTCCGGGGTGGCGCTACAAAAGATTTCTTTCCCTTTCGAAGTTGAGTTATTCTGGGGCATCTTCGCTCAGTAGGAAATCCTAGAGAGTGAGATGGCACTCAGGTCACCAAGAGTAAGGGATGAGAGACTGGTACGAGTGGCCCCTACTCCCGCCTACGTCTTCCCACCAGCTTTGGAACCTACTTAGGACCTCCTCTTTGGACCCATTCGCTCTTCCAAGGCGGAGAGGAGAGGGCTCACTCCCACCTCTGGATGGGGAACGTCTCCCTCGAGGACTCTTGCCCGAAGGGGAGAGGGAAACCCGTTGTCTCCATCCCTCCCTCCCTCCCTCCCTCCCTCCCTCCCTCCCTCCCTCTCGGCATTAAGAGCCCCCGTTTCCTCCCGACGGAGGGCTCCTCCCGGCGGAGGCAGACCTCGACGCTTATAAAGGAGATTTTCTGCCAGCGAGCTTTAGTCCTCGACGCGAGCTTTCCTCTCGTGCTCCACCGGGTTGGTGGGGCGCGAAGCGGGCTCTTTTCTCCCTCTTGCAGCTTCGGGACCAGGCTGGACGGGCTTGGCTCGCTTGGACTCGGAGAAAGTTCAGAGAAGGGAGGCAAGGGAAGCGGGCCAAAGCGATGGCGCTGACCCCCGGTCGGGGCTGGCCTGGGGGCAACGTGTCGTGGGAGGCGGCGCCGGGGGGCAACGGGAGCGTGGCGGAGGGCGCGGCTCCTCCCTCCGCGGAGCCGCCCTTCTCCTTGCCCTTCCCCTGGGAGGAGGGCCTCCCCGCCGCGGAGGAGCCCCCGGGCCTGGTGGCGCTGCGTTGCGCGGTGCCCTCGCTGTACCTGCTGCTGATGGGGGTGGGCGCGGCGGGCAACGCGGTGCTGCTGAAGGTGCTGGTGGGGCAGCGGGCCAACCGGCGCAGCGTGCCCAACCTCTTCATCGCCAGCCTGGCGGCCGGGGACCTGCTCCTGCTCCTCACCTGCGTCCCCGTCGACGCCTCGCGCTTCTTCCTCCAGGGCTGGCCCTTCGGGAGCCTCGGATGCAAGCTGCTCCCGGCCATCCAGCTCACCTCCGTCGGCGTCTCCGTCTTCACCCTCACCGCCCTCAGCGCAGACAGGTGAGTCCCGTCGCGGGAGCACAGCAAGAGCCAGGAGGGAAGGAAGAAGGGATGGGAAGGGAAGGGAAGGAAGGAAGGAAGGAAGGGAAAGAAGAAAAAGAAACGAAGGGAAGAGAGGGGAGGAATGAAAGGAAGGAAGGGGAAGAAGGAAAGGAAGGAGGGAAGGAAAGGAAAGGAAGGAGGGAAGGAAAGGAAGGACAGGAAAGGAAATGAAGGAAACAAGGGAAGATAAGGTAAGAAGGAAAGGAAGGCAAAGAAAGGAAGGGGAGAAAGGGAAGGAATGAAAGGAAGGACAGGAAAGGAAAGCAGAAGGGAATGGAATGGGAAGGAAGGGAAAGGGAAGGGAAGGGAAGGACAGAACAGGTAAGGAAGGAAAGGAATAAAGTGAAGAGAAGGTTGGAAGGAAAGGAATGGAAGGAAGGAAGGGGAAGGGAAGGAAGGAAGGGAAGGAAGGAAGGAAGGAAGGGAATGAAAGCTAGGAAGAAAAGGAAGGAAGATAGGAAGGGAAGGAAGGGAAGGAAGGGAAGGGAAAGGAAGGAAGGAAGGAAGGAGGAAGGAAGAGAAGGAGGAAAAGGAAAGAAATGCCATAGGAAGATTCTGGGGAGCCCATCGCTCATGTCCTTCTCTGTCCCAAAAGCAATTCTTTTGCCCAGCGAAGAAGGGCAAAGGAAAGTGTGGGGTTGAGACAGGTGGAGGAAGAACCCTGTCATGCAGTTTAATCTTCTTCCCTTGAGTCCCAGCCTTTTGTAGAAGCACCTTAGTAAAGTGTTGCCTAGTAGTTTTTGTGACTTGTCAATGGGGAAAGGAGAGAAGTCTCCCACAGGAAGGTAAAACATCACTTAATCCCCTGGGCAACGTCCTTGCAGATGGCCAATTCTCTCACACCAGAAACAACTTGCAGTTTCCCAAGTCGCTCATGACACGAAACAAAACAGGCAAAAATACAGAGGAGTCTGGAGCAACCTCCTTCAACTTTAAGGACTGAGACCAAAGTGGCTCCTCCTGCGAAGTCTCTTCTGAATGCTTCCTCCTCTCTCGCCCTACAGCCCTGATCTGGCTCCCCAATCTCAAAACCCACCTCAAAGGACCTCATTTTGAGACCCTTGAAATGGTCTAGGCAGTTGTGACAAAGTAGATGTTGAACATCACTCAAGTGAAGACTTCTTCCACTCCTTTGAAGAGTCCCAGCAATCCTGGAATCACTATATTCGATCGTAAGGAGCATATTTTGAAGGGGACGAACTGTAATTGCATTACTTTTGGGACAGACTGCATAAGCCATGGCAGGTGGTATCACCAGTTGACATTCCCTTAGCTGAAATTCTTGGCACCACAAATGCTTGGGATATCGGTTTCTTTTCCAGATTTTGCAATATTTGCTTATGGATTAGACTCTCAGTTAACTGGAATTCAGGCATCTGGAACTCTTAAGAAACTGGGAAAATGTAAAGAAATAATACATTAACTAAACAATGTAAAAATCATTTTATTACAGATGTAAGTTTTAAGTTCAGTTTGTCTTTATTTGGTTTTGATTACTGTATTTCAATATCAATATCAAGTCAACACAGGGCTTATGGTATCTCTCAAGCAACCAGAAACATCAAGCAACCAGGCACATCAAATCACCTCTCAAAGAAAGATTCCCCCAGGCACTTCCAAGCCATTAAATGCTAATCAAGGTGGTCAGCTGAAACATTCACACCTAGCTCCAGCAGACAAAAGTCCTTTGTCCCACCCTGGTCTTTCCACAGATATATAAACCCATTTTCCTACTTCCAACAGACCTGACTACCTCTGAGGATGCTTGCCATAGATGCAGGCGAAACGTCAGGAGAAAATGCCTCTAGAACATGGCCATATAGCCTGGAAAACCTACAACAAAGTTTGTGCACATTGAACCATTATTAGAAAATAAAAGTGTCAGTATTACAGCTATCCCTGTGTACAGTTGGATTTTTTGAGTATTTTGGAATAAACAATGTTCAACTTGTACTCCTATCCCTCTGTGTCTCCATTTCTGAAGGTTCCTGTCTTTTCATCCCTTTATGTAAGGATTTTGTTTAATCTGAGAGAAACATGGTGATCGTAGTCACATTTCTCCCATGAGATTCTTCTCTCCTCATAATTCTAGGGCTACGTTTGTTACACTGTTTTGCCTCTCTGTGTTTTGTTAGTTGCATGTAACTTTACGAGAGCAATGGCAACCGTGGAACAAGTACACGCACACAGGTACAATTGTCTCATTTTGGTTGATCCAGTGTATGCAGATACTTTCTCTCTTGGGGGTAGGTTCTCCTTGTTGAATTTCTGCTCTGTTTTTGACATTGAAGACATAGGTGATCTCTCCAGTGACAAACTTAACAAGACACTTAAAACTCTTTGGCTGATTTACTCTGAGTTCGGTGAGCCACCCAAAAGGGCTAGATTTGAGATTGTGTGCATCCCTAAAACTCAACAGTGCCTCCCCCCCCCCAATATTGTTTGGGATTTAGCTGGTCATCAGATGTGGAACTGTACAACAGAGCACCCTTTCATCCACCTCGAGTAAAGTCTGGATTAAGCATGACTTCTGTGATGATATGCTTAGTTCTAGCAGTAGTCATTCTCAATGTTTTAGCTGAAAGCCCTTCACACATAAGTAGTAGTCATTCATGCTTAAAAAAGCATTTCAAAATACATATATAATTGACATTACAGTCAGTCCTCAAGTTACAAACATCTGACTTACAAATGATCATAGTTAAGAATGGGGGCGACACAGCAGGAAGTGAGCGAACTCTACCCCTAGGAAAGGAATTCCACTCCTGAAAGAGTTATCATGGGGGAAAAGTGTCTCCACTGAAGCTTTATCACCAATCCTTGTTTCTACAAGCCAAATTTTTCAAAATCCAATTATCACAAGGACAGAAAGTGAGGTGAAATCTTCTGAACAGGGGAACAGACAGCAAAACAAACACCACTAAATGTTTTACATTGTATCTGTGACTGTTGTTTTATAGTTTTATAGTTTCCAGGGTTTTAATTTATTGTCATATGTTGTTGATTAGATATGTGATGTTTTATACATGTAAGGCATTGAATTTTGCCATTGATTGTGTTGTGAACCACTTTGAATCCGCCCTCCAGAGGTGAGAAAAGTAGAATAGAAAAGCAATAAATAAATAAATAAACCCTTCCCTGTGCTATCCAAAGCATGCATATACATATATATGTGAGTGTGTGTATGTATCTGGAGTTACTCTTAAGAAATGTACCTGTTCTGACTTACTTACAAATTCAACTTCAGAACAAACCTACATAACCTATCTTGTTTGTAACTTGGGGACTGCCTGTATACATAAATCAGGTGCTAAAGCAGAAAAATTATGACGGCTTGATTTTCATATTCAGAGGCAGTATACCTTGAGATATTTGATCCAAGGAGAAAACAAAAGCAAAATATTGACTTCATGCTGCTTGAGAATTTCAGGAAGCACCCAGGTGGCAAGACTGGCCCAAAGAATGTTGTTGCCTGAGACAAAAGTCAGGATGATATCCCCTTTCTCACATTTCATATATATAGAGAAGTGATCAATAGTAGAATATCCTTCCCTATTGTTTTGGAAACGAGAAACAGTTTCTGGTGCACAGTTGACTTCAAGAGATAGGTCAGAGTTCAAGAGAGTGATAAAAGTTCAGCAAAGCAAGGATTTCACTACGTGTTTTCCATACAGGTGTCATTGCTGAAATTGCTTTAAGTTTTGTCAAGGCTGGACCATTTCTAGCCCATGTCGTAATAAAGTGTATCATATATTTGTGGAGTTTGTTTCCACAAAGTATCATTTTTTTAAAAAAAAAACCCCAACAATTGAAAAATGAGTTATAGATGACAGCACATTGTTGTCTAGAAGAATAATATTATTTACAGATCAAAACTATCAAAATGTATCAAATCACTTCAGTAGAGTGCATTTTATAGCAAAAGAATGCATATCCTCAGTATGATTTTTTTTCGAATCCTGTAAAATTTGTTCAGATGGATTTGGTACATTTTGTAAACAAGCTCCACATTTGAAGACTGTAATGGTGTTCTGATACCCAGACCATGAACAGCTTAATTTTGAAACTACAGCTGGATTTCAACATTGAGTTCACTTATTTGCAAGTCCACCTAATTTTGCCTCAGGCTGTTTAATCACTGTGCTTTGGGATGGAACAAGAATCCCACTAGGAGACAGTCAAGTCCTTTTCCCACTGTCATCAGGTTTTATTGCTTTAACAGTCTTAAATTTTCAAACATAACTCCCTGGCCCCTGCATTTTTCCTCCTGAAAGTTTGTACTTTGTTGTCTTTGGTACCTCTCCAAATTCTTGTAAAGAAAAATAAGGAGGAAGAAAGGAAAAGTGACCAGTTCTCCATATTTTATTTTAGGTCTTTAGTTTTACATAAACCATTGTATCTATTCTACTTAAATTCTGCATTCTTGTTACTCAAGATAAACTAGGTTATTTGCCATTTGTATAACAGAAGTGTATGCAGGCATCCCCCCAACCTTTGATGGCTCAATTTCCAATAACCTGCTCTTCTGCCCAGAATTGTACATTTGATGAGTGGTCCACTCTTTTGACCACTAATTGAATTAATGGGTTCTGCTTAATTTTTAAAATCAAAAGAGTGGGCCAGTGGTTGCAGGTACTAAGTACACAAACAAAAAAAAGCCACCAAAAAGTGAATTGTGTAAGGGAGGCAGACAGTAGAGGTGCCTGTTTACTGATAGCAAAATTATGAATGTATCACTAAAAGTAATTCCTCCTTCCTGCAATCAGCCTTTTCTTCTCAGTATGATATACTCTAATTAACAGGTTAGGGACCAGGCTATTGTAGGTTCCACATTATGATTATTTCTGCTTCTTGAAAATGCCCTGGTCCTTAACCTGTTGAATAACTGTGAGACAATTGTATAAGAAATCTAGAAAAGTAAATGGCTTTATACCATAAAGACATATGTTTCATTCAGA